ACTTGGCAGAAACAATTCATACACAAGTAGTTTACATGTACACATTTTACTCTTATTTACATTAACGTAGATCTAACACTTCGATTAAATAATTCTGAATTTTTTGAAACATATTTCAATCCCTTTTTCTTCCTTCTCTCAAATCAGTTTTTTTTTTTTTTTTTTTGCTTGTCATTTATTTTTTAATTTGACATCCCACTTGCACTTCATCTCACTCCTTATAATAAACAATGTCAAGAGTCATATATGTAAAATATGCATCTTATTTCTGGAAACATATTTGAAATGTGTTGAAACCAGACCGCATCCTTTCTTTAAGGTCAAGATCTAGTAAATGAAAGGTGCCTACAGATTTCTCAAATTTAACAAATAAATTCCTTTAATGATGCTTTGTAACTTAAGCTTGGTTAAATAAGGTGTTTCGGGGCAAAATTTGTAGATAAATTAGACGAAAAATCATATTTTAAAGTGTCATTTTCATTGAAAAATTAAGAAAACCAGTCATGAATACCGGAGTTTTTTCCATATCAAACAAAGGAAATGTATTCAGATTGCCTAAAGTCTCTCAGAAAACGGTAATTTGTATGTTCTTGGCCTCTTCTTCAAAATAATGTTAAATTTAATATAGGTATCAGGATTACAAATTGAATTCCATGAAAATACTTCATTTTCTACATAATCCTCTTAGAGCCGTAAGGTACGGGAAAAAGAAAGTTGAAATTGATTATGACGTCATAATGGACCTAGCACCAAAAAGTTAGTCTAAAGTCATTTACTAGATCTTGACCTTAAAAAAAGAAAAAGTTACTTTTCACGTTTTTATGCAGGTGCAAGAATTATCACGCGAGCTTTTTTAATGAAATAATTGACATGAAGTTACAAAAATAAAGATTGATTGCTACTTCATGTAGATATAAATATTGTATATACCGACATGGGGATTCATTAAAGCCGGACATGTGCATTTGACGGATCAGCACATGAGTTCTATTTTGGATCCAGTTTACAGAGATATTTATTATCTCAATGCTAAAATTCTAATGATATCTTTTTAAAGATAATTTTCCCGTTTTTAATTAAATGCATTTAACAACACGACAGAAAATTAGGTCCATAAAAGCCTTCGATTTTTTTATGACAAGCATTTTAACCGAAATATTGATTGCATGTATCTTCTATGACGTCAAAAATGACGTATAACGAGTAACGTCATGTACAACATACATGATCATAATATACACCCATGCTTTTTTTCCAAAATACAATTATGATTTCAGAAAATGTACTTTTTAGATTTTTTACCACATTTAGTGTCTTAAAAGCAAACAATAGACTGTTTTCTATCACCTTGTGTCTTATCTATGGATCTTTAGTGTAATATGAGCCACCCATTAGCAATTGGCTATTGAAATTAACGGATATTTGAAAGCATAAAAATTCAAAAGTAATGTCAAATTTCGTATTTGTCAAAGCACAAACAACGCTAATACATGTAATTGACATAATGATTTGTATTTGTGGTATTTATACATATAGTAAGTATGAAAGTTGTTCTTCCCTGTGACCCCATCTAACTTTGGAAAAAAAACCTGTTGATAAATCGGCATTTTTAACCCTTTTTTAAAACCAGCATATATTCCAATAGTCTGATATGCCTAATAACGCCTCATTTAATTTTTTTTTTTTACATGTGGGATATGAGTGCGTTTCCACTTACATTATCAATATATTTACACCTCATGAATCGATCCTATAAGTTTGTGTTAAACACGAAGACACATACGATGGATCGTGGCCATAGCATTTTTCAAACGCACTGAAATTTTATTTTTTTTTCAACATGAGCACACTCGTTACCGCAAAATATTTTCAATGGAAAATGTTTCTCGAATAGTTATCATTCTTTTTCCGTTTTAATATTTTGCGGTAACGAGTGTGCTGTATGTGTAAATCACGATTAATTGTGTAAAGGACAAGATAGGCTAAGACCCCTTTTTGGCCCCTAGTTTGGCCTGTCTTTTAGAATGATGCAACAGTTTGTTAATAAAAACCTGTTGTCACCCCTACCACAAAATGAGTCTTGGTTCTAAGTTATAGGATACACAGAGGTCACAGGAAGGTCAGAAAATATGTCAATTTCCGAATTTTCTAATTTTTATGCAAATTTTCGTCGATTTTACAGCACATTTTGTTTCAGAAAACATAGAGCACAAGCTTGCCTATCTACGAAATTTATATATTTCATACACTAGTACATGTATCAGATGTATCTTATGTATAAAAATCTCAGATAGGCAAGCTTGTGCTCTATGTCTCCCGAAGTGAAAAGTATCTCAAATTTGACGAAATTCCACCAGAATTGAGGAAATTCGGGAAAATGTCCTACTTCTGCACCCTCTTGTGGCCTCCGTGTGAGCTTTTGAAATTAGTGCTGGATTTAAAACAAGCATCATTTTAAGTTCTTAACTACAAACTATCACAATTTTAACCTTGTTCTGAATTTTACATCAAATAAGGGGCCAGATTCGGCCCTTAACATACCTTGTCCTTTGGCATTTTCCCGGAAAACCTCGAACCACGGTGAGGTTTAGAATTTAGTTTGACATAATAAATATCCGGTTTTGATTAAAATATTGTACATGTGAAATGTGTTAATGTTCTAGTGTGAGAATGATCAAAAACATATATTCTGAAGCCATTTTAATTTTTTTCATATTTACTAGGCCAAATAAGGCATATTGTGGGTCGAGTTCTTTGTTCTGAAAATATTAATTAAATATACATGTATTTAATATTCCCAGTAAATAATGACAAAAAATTCTCTAGTAAAAATATGTAGAGCTAAAATTCTAAGATATAAAATTTAACAAGTGTGTAGATTTGCACTGGAGAATTTTCTACTAAATATCCTTCCACCATTAAAAAAAATAGCCCCCACCCCCACCCCCTAAATCTTGTTTCTTTACAATTTTGTGATCATTTTTTTAATTGGATATTGTATAACTTGCATTGTTAAATATATTATAAAAATTGAATTGTAATAAATAATTTTTAAGTTACAGGTTCTGAACAAACTAAACATTGTAAAAAGCTGACGAGTGACATACGAGGGGTGATCAAAAAGTCCGCGAACTATCTCTATATTTACAAAACCACGATTCAGACCAGAATGAAATTTGGCACACATGTAGTCATACAAGTGTTATATAAATAGCAGTTGTTATAATGTTTTGATCCATGTTTGTGACGTCACAATTTGAAAATGACGTCAATAGATAGGTTACTTGTGACAAAAAATGATTGACTCAGTCGTACTCGAGCAACGAACAGCTGTAAAGTTTAATGTGTATCTTGGAAATTCCTTTGCAGTAGCATATAATAATTTGTACAAAGTTTATGAAGACAAAAGACTTGCCAGGAGTTTAATCATTAATTGGATTAATTGTTTTAGTGAAAGAAGGGAGATGGTTAAAAATGATGTTTGTTCTGTTGCCCAGGGAAAGCAAGCTGGGGAAGAGCTGTGTCCTTAGATGAGTAATTTGTTATGAATGAAAGCCAAGTTACAGTAAGAAAAGTAGTTGAATATCTTAACAATAATATACATGTAGTTATTAAATCCCTAAAATATCGTTTACTTTAGACTTTAAACATATCAGTTATGATAAAAAGAAGGCGCCCGTACTTTATCAATATTGGATAAACGACGCTCCCAAGAGAGAAAACTCGGGTTGTGAGGGTCACCATGCTCATTCTGGGAAAGGATATCCTTATCCAACCATCCTATTGCTGAGATTTGGCCATTTTTGAGAAATTGACTGTTCTTGTTATAAAAAAAAAAAAACTTTCATAGTAAGAAATATTAGACTCGAAAAAAATCTTTTACCTTCTGTGAACGGAACGCTTCGGAGCATGTCACATGACCGCCTGTATCACGTGATTCGCGCTTGGGCAGAACGGTGGCAGATGTGCATTTAAATTGAAAAGGACTAATTTAAAAAATAATGAACCCTGAAACCTAATTTCATTTCTTTTATAAATGGAAATAATTCAATTAGTTCGCGAAGTTTTTTATCACCCCTCGTAACTTAATTAATATGACACCTCTATATTGAGAATACTCTTGAATTTGACTTGATTTGATTAAAAGAAAATAATAAACTCAGTTCATATTACGACTTTTACCATGTGCACGCACGCACATGCATGGAATGACTCCTGATTATTCATTTATATCATAAAAGACCAAGGGCACTTGTTTCGTAGGGCACCCCCTACGACCCCCCCCCCCCCGTTCAAACTTGTATTTTATTAATTTATCAATCATTAACCTACTTTAACAAGATGCAGGTGGTTTCGAGATTCTTTTTTTTCTTTTTTTCTAATGAATCGTTCCAGTCTTCCTTTAAAGTAATTGTAAACCACTCATTTGTCTCGACACATTTCAAGACGTTACAGAGGATACTTCAACTTCCATTCGGCTTATCGAGTAGGATAAAACTAAAGACTTCCAAACTTTTTATTCTGAAGTGGTTTACAATAAAGACCTCTTATACGAGTGAAATACTCTTGCAAGGGACTTAAAACTACAAGAATCAATCCATTTTAATTTAGTATTTATAACACCTTTCTCATAAGTAAAGCATTATTAACGAGTGATCAAGTGAAAATGTTTACTAGTAGTCAATGATCGGTTTCAGCAAGCGATAGCCGAGTGCTTTCAAGAATACTCGTCGACATCCTTAATATCTATAGTTTAAGGTATAAAGGATGTTGCTCGAGGGAAGAAATCCTACCTTAGTAGTACACTGGGTAATTTAAAGGCAGCACTGTGTAACAATGGAAAATTGAACGATAATTGCCATATTTTTTTTTAATGAAAATCGACTAATAAACGTGTATTTTAACAATAATTATAAAAATGTGTAAAACTTCCAAACTAATCTTAAGACGACTTAGTTTTCTTTTCCTCCACATTCAACCTTGTCCTTTAATATTTTCAGTTTCAGATGTTGCCCGAGGGAAAAAATCCTACCTTAGTAGTACATTTGCTCATTTCAAGGCAGGACTGTGTAACAATGGAAAATTGAACGATTTTTGTCATACCAGATTGACCACAAACCCATGGTATCGGATCGATCTGGGGACAACCTACAACATTGACGAAGTGATAATCTATAACAGGAGAGACTGTTGCGGTAAGTATAATCCTAAAAGACTCTGCAATCATTATCCATGTTGTATTTTTGTTTATTTTGTTTCAAGTTTATTAAAGGTTTTTTGAAATGGAAAGCTCAAATATATATTATGAAGAAGATATCGCCAAAAGATTTTTTGAAGTGAGAGAGACGAACAGCTTTCTGAAAGAAAAAAAAATCTGCAATGCATTGAACATGCCTGAGCATACAAACTTTTTTTTAATTTTTATCCTTGTCTGTTGCACTCTGTCTTTAATCAATTTAACAATTTTAGCTGCCGCTCTTAAATTGTGGAATACATTTTGCAAAATTGAATAGATTTAGGCAAAGGGGGAAAATTTGACGTTTTTTTTTTTTCTTGGTTTTACTTGGATAAGACCAATATTGCAAACCAATTTTTTCTAAGCGCCTCCACCACTCACAAATCTAGGGTTTATGTGAAGTAGAACAGATCAGAACAATTGCCTAGCAAAGATTGGATATACTGCAAAGCTAGGTTGGCTATTTCGGTCAAAGAGGGGAAGTTAAATTGAAACTAATGGTCTTCAATACAACCAGAAATCAAACTGTTTATTTAAGAAGCAATATCTCCCTCAATCCCAGTTTTGAAATCTATTATATGAGAGATAGGAATGGAGGCCCAGGACCTTGCAACTGGCTGGGGCAACTTTGATCACATTAATCAATATTAATCTTTACGACGATAGACTAGACACACTAGCAGATGAGCTCTATTTTAATTAGGCAATTAATCCTCTATCAAAGATAAAGAAAAAGGCATATGCTTCTGAAATAGGGTTTATGCTGATGGGTTGCCCATTCTAGGAAAACACACTTGCTTATATCTGGGCTTGTGAAGGAAGATTTTAAGATTTTGTTGAACAAAATGCTTAAGACATTATTTAGAAGTGTAGGACAAGAGAGAAGATGCCCCTCACCTTTTGACAAAAGTTTTTTTCATTAGTAATAGCCAGAAGTGCAAGCTTACACCGAAGGACTTTTAGTAAGAGACGTTTGATTTTTTTCCCCCTCTTGCCCACAAAATTCTACTTACACAGAAAACATTAAATGCACATTCTTCACAAAATCGTCACTCTTTATCACAGTGAATGATCATTCATTATGTTTCATGACAGTTTTGGATTAAAAACAGGGAATTATTTAATCTTAGACTAATTATAAATCCTGGATTTTCAGAAAATTCTGAAATCAGGTGTAGTGCCCGAAAACTAACTTAGTTTTGCTTGAAATTATCAGTTTTCACTGTAGTAGATACTGTCTAAATGGGTAAGTGTGTATATAAGAAGCTAATATAATTGAACTATTGTTTATTTTTATTCATTCATGTTTTTATTGTGTTCCAATTTCATATTTTTATTGTTTATTTTCAGCCATAATTAATATTTCTAGGGTAAATGTCTTTTATGCAGTGTATCTGGTGTTCTACTGTTGTAGCTGTAGAAAATAATGACGCATGCGCAGATGGGGGTTAGTCGATGCCTGGCATCAAAAAACGACTAACCCCCATTTGCGCATGCGTCATTATTTTCTCGCTAAATTCTGCAGTTTTCTGCAATCAAACGGCGATATTAAAATAATCCATCGAATTTCCGTCATTAAATTATGCTACGACTCCACTGTTATCGCAAAACGTTCCTTCCGAGTTGTAGATATCCGTTAAACATTGCCAACAACGCACGGCTTCATAGTCCCCATGAATGAAGACCCGACTGAAGAAATGACTTGCAGCAAACGAAAATACATACCGATGCGTATTCAGCACGACAACTGCAAACACTTACATATGTTTTCACAATCGTAACAACTTTTAAATCCAACGAAATGGTCAGAAAAACGCAGCGATGTAAACACTACCAAATTTACAGCAGCTTCCTTATGCAGACAACCACTCCTCGACGTCACAGTCGTAAAATACGACGTCACAGGTACACTCTTTTCCCGAACTTTTCTAATGCAAAATGGCGATTAAGCATTGTACGTAATATAAGGTATACTGTCTTTGTTGTTCAGCACACGTACTTTTAATTGTTTGTAAAAAGTTCTCCTTTTACCAAGTAATTGAATATCACAAGAGGAAAGGAAACTGGAATGTCTTCAGTACAGAAATCGGTCTTTGAAATTTGAAGATCCATGATCCGCCCACTTGTTTCACCTCCAGCTAAGAGGTGCATATTTAGTGTGCAAATCTCGAGTTTTAAAGCCATTGTGACGTCACCCTCAATAATTTGTAACAGATCAGTGAAATCTTACACATGAATCAATAAAAAATAATAATAAATTATTTAATATAGTTAAACTGTGGAAAACGTTAGTTTGAATTCTTGTGTACCATAAACAAATTCCCAAGCCTTTGTGACATTACTCCTAAACTTGCAATGACGGGGAACAGAGAAAAATACTGCGTCATAAATATAATAATAATAGTATTTGAATACACCAGTCAGATTAAACCACCCCGTGTCCTCTTTTCTTGTACTTTACAAACGTATTTTTTTTTTTAGACAGAATACCCCCCCCCCCCCTTGGCGAAAAACGGATCAAGTACTCAGTTCAAATATTTTAATTTTTATTATTTTCATCATCAAAATATATATATATTTGTATTGGCTCAAAAAAAGAATTGAACAAGTTAAATTGATGCAAAGCATCAAATAGACCTCAAAAATAAATAAAGCAAAAATCTGAAGTATTTCCAAAAGAAAGAGCACCCCCCCCCCCTCCAAAAAAATGCATTTATGGCAGAATCTAGGAGAGGTGGATCTAAGAAAAAAAAATATTTTCTTCAGTGGCATGTCTGATGCACCTTGGAATTTAGTGTTTTTTTAATTTTTTATTATAGCCTTAAAATATTTCTGAATCTAGGGAGAATCCACAGTGTGCAAGTCTTTCTAAGACACTGTGAGTTACCCCAATACCCTGCATATTTCACTTACCCATTGAGAAGAAGGTAAACATGGCCTATTTACACCCTTCATACGTTCAAAGGCAACATTTCTCAATATTTGAAATTTTAATTCTTTTCCCCAGACACTCTTCTTCCTATCTATGCCCTAAAATCTGTCCATCCCACTTCGTGCGAATCCTAAGACATATTTACGGGAAAAACCCTGCGCTTTGCGTGGTCAATGAAATGGGGTAAATTAGTAACCTGTGGCATACTTATACTTTCTAAAATCAAATTAAGGGTTACATACAAATTCCAACATTTATTTTAATTTCCTTTTTATTTAACTTTGTTTATTGTTTACTCTTTTATTTTCTATAATTATATGTTTCATTTTAAATGTATTATTATTATTATTATTGAGCACATAAAATATTGAAATTATGCCACCCCCCGAAAAAAAAAAATTAAAGGCGTCATATTATTCTTTAAAAATAAAATTTAAAGCTTTAATCTTATATCTGTAAAAGTTTTGGATCCTTCCCTCAACACTGCCTTGACATCATTTGTCTCGGATAACATAAAGATAAGCGTAAGCCAGCGTTAATTGCGCTTTGATTGAATTCAGTCTACATGCAGCTACACCAGAGAGAATCCACAGAATTTCTTCCCATGTAGAAAAGTGCATCTTTATGATAGACTTTTACACTGTTCGACTTTTCTGTGTTTGTTTTATCCCCTCGCAACGGAGTTGCGTGTTTGTTTGTGGGTGAGTGAGATAATTCTGTGCAAAACGGAAGTGACGTAATTTGCATTGGAATCGATGTCGGATGCTGCCTTAGCTTATGGATAATAAATTGCGCAACTCGATCACTATATAATAGTATGCTGCTAATCTATTATTATTATCATTTTCTTTAGCCTCATGTGGTTTTCTACCTTCTCAATATTTTTGTCCCCGTTTCAGACAATTGTGGATATGTTACAAATCTTGCATTTTTACCAGTATCTTATTTGTGGTATTGTAATCTTCCATTTATACCTACATGTTAAATATAACATGGTTAATATTCTACCATATTACGATATTTTAATATTATTCAATTAAATGTGATCTTATTGTAATAATTGTATTTGCCCTCTGAGGGCCCTTGATTGGTGAATAAACATACTATTATATATCATGTTTCAACAACATGGGAATGGAAAAGGGCTGTAAGCCTTTGAATGAAATTGTCCATACAAGGACTCTTTTCGGACAAACTATTATTGCGCAGATTTAGAGGGATATCTGGAGTGTCCAACTCCACCCTCGGATATTTTCTGAGATATAAAATTTAAATAGCAAAGTAAACCAAAATGACCCCCCCCCCCCCGTTTAAAAAAAACTCAGACACTTAGGACACTTGGTAAAATGTGATCGAATGAGTCATTTACATGTCCTAACACCCGCTCCCAAATAGATTGTTCGCTGATTCTTGGCTACTCCAAAAAATTTGAGATTTTTTTTTCTGTTGGAGTTGCCCCCTCATTCTCCTAACCTCAGAAAATAATCACACGTTTCAAAGCACACCATCATGTAAGAAATATTAATTTGTTTATATTTCACATAAATTAATTCTTCTAAATGTAAATCCTGTCTCTCCATATAGCGTCCCTGCATTGATGATGATTTTCCTGGTCGATGTTCACAGGCTCGACTTGTAGTACTAGTAATGCAGTGCTGGACTTTCAAACTCGCAATCGCGTGGCAATATTGTATAGGAAACAGATCACGTCACATTTTGATAAAATATTTTGGAAAAAATAAAATAAATAATGATAGTGAAGGTAACATTATGTAAGCAAAATCATATAATTGTTCTTTTTTTGCTGGGAAAATTGTTAGACTGGAGTGATGCTTTTATAATATGCACAGTATTATTTCTTCTTCGAACAACAGTTAACACTTTACATGGAGGTTTACAATTCCTTAATTTTGTTGATACTAATGTAGATTAAATATTATCGATAATGTAAACCTTTTGTCTTTATATGCTATTTTTAAATGTCTCGTTTCAGCTGATGCATAAAAAGAGATATTTCTTTTTATTGA